TTTTTTTTTTTTTTTTTTTACTCTGTTGTTTGGTTAGATTGATGGTGTTATAGCATTTCTGAAAGCTTTCTGTTTCTACCTGAAGACCTCTGTTCAGTTATTTGACAGTTTTCACTGGACTGCAATGTTAGGCAAAGCCCTTGTTACTTTCTAACTTTACATATCAGGCAGAATGCAAAGTAGAGGTGCACCTTAGACTAACTGAATCATATTGTTAAATAGCATCCAAACAGAGCTGTACAGTTATCTGAAAAGTTTCCTTTTGCTCTTCTTCAGCTTTAACTAGCTAGAAATTTTGGCTAAAAGGATTTGTGTTTACTGGGTTTTTTAAACTTATTTCTTTTCTTTTTTTGTCACCCAAGTCTGGGAATGTGCTAGATGCATATTCCAAAACCTGCCCGAGGGAGGAGTGTGCTGTTATAATAGCTATAATTCTGACTTAATTTTCAGGTATTGAAATTTCAAAGTACAGCATACTTTTGTTGAATTGTGTTGTATCTTCATCTCTCTTCCCCCCCCCCATCATAATATGTTTTTTGTATTGTTTAATAACTTAATTGTTAGCTGTTTAGTGTATGAATCTTCTTCATTTAGGCAAATTCATTAGTCTTGAAGTAGTTAATTCTTGAGTAAGAATTTCTGAACTAAACATTTAGCCAAGGAACCTGCACAATACTTCCTCCTGATCCCTGTATACTAGTTCAGCATAAGGTAGGCAGTCTTTTGGAAGAAAGTTTAGACTGCCTTGTAGTATAAGTCGATGCTCAATATTTTTAGCTTCTATTTGTTAAGAAGATTCTGTTTTTGTCCTAAAAAACATTTTTTCCCAAGTATATAGCCCGCATTCATATATATGTATATAGCAAATCCTCATTCATGTAAGTGGTCTCCATTAGTTTGACTGCAATACGGTGGAGGTTACAAGTTGTTATTTATTCCTTGGCATAGATATCCACTAGAATTCTTTTTGCTGCCCACATACAGGGATGCGGTGGTTAATTCTCTCCAGTGACTGAGGTTAGTCGTGTCACATGGCTTAAAAGTCTGATAGTGCTGTCAGAAATTTGGATGTCCTTGTTTTGGTTGCTTCTGTGACAAGCAGAAAATACATGTTGTAAAAAATGTTTAACATGCTAAGTGTGAAGTAGATAACTTGGTGAATCAAAAAAAAAGTTTTTCTTTGTGTGAGCTATTTAAAAAAATAATAATTTCTGCTAGTTAAGCAGCCAATCCAATACAAAGTATGTTAGCTTACTGTAACAGTTATATAACTTCTGCCTTGAATTGTGTTGTGGCAGTTGTCCCAAGCTACTCGGATAAACTTGGTCTTATGTCCTAAGTGTAGCATTTTAACTAGGTAAAATCTGTATTGTTCCACAAAACTATAAAATTGTCCTCTGGGATTTAATTTCTTGATTGTTGAGCTAATTAATTATTTGATAAATAGTGAGGAATCATGTGTGCCAAGTAATTGCATGTTTAATAGTTAACTACATTAAGATGAATTTGAGGGTGGTTAAAGTTTTAGCCAAGTTAACTACAATAAAGACTGTTTCAAAAATTGTTCTTGTAATCTGCAGCCTGGTTAGGAAGAGCAAAAATGTTTGTCTTTTGCAGGTGGGAAGTAGGGACAGTAAAGTGTTGCTGTGTAGATGAACAGTCATGGGATACTGGAGAAGTAGGACATAGCTGCCAACAAAAATCGTTGTGAAGTGAGATTTTTGGATGTCCCCAGCATTAGCCTTACTGCTGCCAGTGCTTATGGAAGGGGTTAAATTTTGTAACGCTGTGGACTGAATCATCTATACAAGCATTTATGTCGTGGGCAGCAAGAGTACAATTTTCTTGTTCTGTCCTTCCAGTGTGCCCCCTCTTTGCTTGGATTATAATTTGGACTTCACGTCCACCAAATCTTTCACATCGCCACAAGACTGACAACAACAGGGGCCCCTTGTGATTTGCAAGGGTTTAAATTTGGCTAGTAATAGCAGGAAGCCTGTGACTTCCCTTCCTTTTCTTCCCTCCCTCCTCAACATTTGAAACCATCTTTTCATGAGAATTCTGCAGGGGACCAGGTCTGTGCTGCTGCATGTTGCATTTTTCAAATAAATGGTAAGAGTGGAGCTGACATGATCCTTCTCTGTCTGGATTTGTGTAGGATTTCATGCACTTGTCTCTGGCAAAACAGAAAGGACTAAATCAATTGGAGAAGAAAATGGGGCAGGTGGAGAAGAGGGCTTATCTAATGCTGTAATCAGGGTTAGGGGGCAAAAAATGTGATCCCAGTGCATCTGGGAAGATGATGTTCCTGCATTGCTTTCTAATAAACTTTTCCCTTTGTCCTGGCTGCAGTTGTGGTTGACAGGCTCTAGGAGATGGGGTCACTGTTTTGTATGCCTTTTAAAAAAAGGAAAAGTAAGCAGGGGTCATGGAGAATTTGGTAGAGTTTTGAGGAGGAGTATTGGGAAAAGTGGAAATATTTGAGCAGAAATGAGACACTGTTAAGTAAGATATTTATATGAAATCCACTTGGAAGGATGACAAGGGAAAGATTGCTTTGTGGTTGGTAGATTGGGGTTGTATTTCTAGCTCAGCTAGTCTGGCTGTGCAACCTTGGATAGATCAATTAACCCTTCAGTGCCTCAGTTTCCCCACAAGTAATGCCCTGTTAAGATTATGCTTAATTCTTGCACAAGCTGATATTTTCAAGGTACTGAATAGAAAGGCTTGATAGAGAGGCAAATTATTGCTTATTAAAGCTGATGTAAGAAGCTGTATTGAATAGCTCAGTTTTCACTGCTGTGACACAGATCATGTATGAATTTCCTATTTCCATTTATTCAAAAGAAATTAAGACATAAACCAATCTATCCTTTAAAGTTTTGGAATTCCCTCTCTTTGCCCTCTTGCCCACACCCAATTTAAAATATGTTTGATGGGGCATGGAGATAGTCACCGATACACATTTGAATTGTCTGTCTACTCTGGACAACAACAAATTAGATTGTGGTACCCAGTCATTTCATAAAGGCCTGTGAACAGCAATCAGTTAGTAAAAATGTATGGTCAGTATCAATCTGGACTGGCTTTAAGAAAAAAAAAAGTGACTTAGAAATAAATGACTCCATCTCTCAGTACATATTGCCCTCTACCAGATAGCCTTCTATCATGCACAATCATTAAATAATTTGCTATGCCTGTCTTTAGAAATCAATTTTCTTCTTTAAAATCGCCAAAATAAACAAGAATAAGTTTTAGAAAGCAGAACCAAAGTTCCAATAATTCCTATATATTCTCTGAGTCTTTTAAAACCTATTAGTTACAGACAGCATGTGATGCCCATGAACGTTGTTTCTCCATCTTCACAGTTCGTTTAGGACTGTGTACAAATATAATCTTTTTCAGAATGGTCATGTCAGTTCATTGCCAGGAAACATAAAAGTGACTTTATCTGGTTCTACACTGTTGACAGAAATAAGTTGGTTTTTTTTTTTGTTTTTTTTCCTGGTGGCCAACTAAAGCTCACAAGGTGTTAATTTTTTGAGTCAATTTAGGTGGCCAAAGACTTCCTGCTAACAGAAGGCAAAGACCATATTTTTCTAGTTACTGTTGTCTGAAACAGAGAGAAATGTTATTGTGCACAGAGAGATGATGTTTGATTGTGAAGTTTTTCTTAAAAGATTTCCTAAAAATCCCGTTCAAACTTAGTTAACTAGTCATGGATTCTGATAGGGTTTATATTGTGGAATGTGAAATAAGGGGTGGATGAATACAGGCAGAGGGAATTTCTTGCTATTTATTATAAACCTTGTCCTAAGAATTGACACGGTTGTCTTTTGACAAGGCTTGTTACACAATAATAAACTGACAGTGTATCAGTTGGGTAAATATTATGATAAAAAGCTTGGTACTGCATACATCTTGCAATGGTTGCAGCTGCTGTTTATGGAAGTTAAATGTTATTTTCCATTTCTTTAAGTTTGAAAGACAGCTATATCTGATTTAAATTAACAAAAAATCAGTTTTTTGGAGCTTGCATGCTGTGGTAGAGCTATGCATGAGCTGAACTTTTATGAAAACATTTTAATTTCTGGAAGAGAAAAAGATTACCCCTCCTAGGAGGATGAAGTCCTAGATTCAAAGAAATGACAGCATTAAAATTATTTTCCCTTTCTGTTATAAAGTGGGCACAAAACTCTATCCTTTCCCCCCCATGTTCCTTGAAGGTATAGATAGAGGATATCTTTGGCAATGTGAGCTGGGCAGTTGTTTGTGCAGCTTTGACTTCCCAGTCATCTTTCTCTACCATATTTTTTTCATTTCTGCTATTGTGGGTCTTGAGCTCTGGGTGCATGAGAGGCTCCCTGGGACAAAAAGAAATGCTGCACATCGCAATCTCCTGGCCAGGGGTGTGTCTAAACATATTCCACTGGCAAGCCTCCAGAAGCAGTCGCTGGTGGTACGCAGTTTCTGTCCTGTGACATAAATTGGTCTACAGATGTTGATGTCCTCTGCTGAGCATGAGCATGTGAGGAAATGATCCGAGGCTCACCAAAGTCAGTGGAACAAGAATACATTGACTTTAGTAGGCTCCG